AAGAAAGTCTGTCACTGTTTCCACTGTTTCCCCATCTATTTACCATGAAGTGATGGGACTGGATGCCATGATCTTAGTTTTCTGAGTGTTCAGTTTTAAGCCAACTTTTTCACTCTCCTGTTTCACTTTCATCAAGAGGCTCTTTAGTTCTTCGTTTTCTGCCTTAAATGTGGTGTCATCTGCATATCTGAAGCTGTTGATATTTCTTTTGGCAGTCTTGATTCCCGCTTGTAATTCATCCATGCCAGCATTTCACATGATGTACTCTGCATATAAGTTAAATAAGCAGAGTGACGGTATACAGCCTTGTCATACTCCTTTACCAATTTTGAACCAATCTGTTGTTCGATGTCTGGTTCTAACTGTTGCTTCTTGACCTGAATACAGGTTTCTCAGGAGACAGGTAAGGTGGTCTGGTATTTCTATCTCTTTAAGAATCTTCCAGTTTGTTGTGATCCACACAGTCAAAGGCTTTAGTATAGTTGGTAAATCAGAAGTAGAAGTCTTTCTGGAATTCCCTTGCTTTTTCTATAATCTAACAAATGTTGGCAATTTGATCTCTGGTTCCTCTGCCTCTTCTAAATCCAGCTTGGACATCTGGAAGTTCTTGGTTCACATCTTGCCGAAGCCCACCTTGAAGGATTTCACAGCCAACCTTGCTATGAATGCAACCGTAGAGTAGTTTGAACATTCTTTGGCATTGCCCTTCTTTGAGACTGGAATGAAAACTGACCTTTTGCGGTTCTGTGACCCCTGCTGAGCTTTCCAAATTTGCTGGCATATTGAGTGCAGCACTTTAATGGCATCATGTTTTAGGATTTGAGATAGATTAGCTGGAATTCCATTACGTCCACTAGCTTTGCTCGTAGTGATGCTTCCTAAGGCCTACTTGGCTTCACACTCCAGAAGGGCTGGCTCTAGGTGAGTGACCACACCATCATGGTTATCCAGATCATTAAGACCTTTTTTGTACAGTTCTCCTGGGTATTCTTGACACCTCTTCTTAATCTCTTCTGCTTCTGTTAGGTCCTTACCATTTCTGTTCTTTATCATGCCCATTCTGACATGAAATGTTCCCTTGATCTCTCAAGTTTTCTTGAAGAGATCTCTAGTCTTTCCCATTCTGTTGTTTTCCTCTGTTTCTTTGCATTGTTCACTTAAGAAGTCTTCCTTGTCTCTCCTTGCTATTCTCTGGAACTCTGCATTCAGTTGGGTCTGTCTTTCCCTTTCTCCCTTGCCTTTCGCTTCTTTTCTCGGGTATCTGTAAAGCCCCCTAAGACAGCCACTTTGCCTTCCTGTGTTTCTTTTTCTCTGGAATGGTTTTAGTCACCGCCTCCTGTACAATGTTACAAACCTCCGTCCATAGTTCTTCAGGCACTCTGTCTACCAGATCTAATCCCTTAAATCTATTCATCATCTCCACAGTATAATCATAAGGGATTTGATGTAGGTCATACCAGAATGGCCTAGTGAGTTTTCCTTACTTTCTTCAATTTAAGCCTGAATTTATCAAATGTCCTTTACTAAATGACTACACTACAACTACATTGGATCAAGACACAGCGAGGTGCTTGACATATTTTCTTGTAAAGAAAGCAACATCTCAGAGGGCTATGAAGCTCTGGGAGGTTAAGTTAGAGAATCACAAAGCTATAAAGAGCTGAGATGAGATCTGGCTCCAGTTCTATAGGACACTAAAGCCTCTGTGCTTCCCTCTGTAAATGCTTCTTATTTTAAGGGTTGGAATAAAGAGAGAGTGTTTGGAGAGAATCTCAGGGCATAGCAGGGTTTGGAAGTTGTTTCTGAAGCAGTAGAGGCTGGGATACAAACTTCTGGTCATATGAGCTTCTCAGAAGGCATGACTCAGGCCGAGCTCCTGCCCAGAGTAAGTGGGCTTCCACTCACTGTGCTCCCCATTAGAATAACCCAGCAGGCGGCATCCACCTAGAGACCGTCCAAAAAGCTGGGAGAAGAGTACTGGGCCGGGGTGGAGACCTGGATTCTGGGTGCTGTCGTGTAGCTGAATTATCTCACACAAATCATGAATCCTCAGTTCCTACATCAGCAAGATCAAGGTGACACTGGGCTGCCCAGTCTGTCTCTTGGGGTTATATTAGACGAGTCATATGTAGAAAGCCAGGTCTTGAAAGCCGTAAAGAACAATATTTTGTTTTCAAATAAAACAGTCATTTATTTATCCAGGTCGACAATTGGCAATGTTGGAGGTAGAGATACAATGGTAAACTAAATCAATAAAAGCCCTGTCCTCATTAAGTTATGATTATCTTATTGTGAGATTTAGCCTGGTGTAAGTTACGAACCAGTGTTTTAAAGGCCGAGGTAGGGAAGAACAGGACACTAACAGAGACGTCCAGTCTGTTCCCAGAAGCGGTTGACTCGGCAGTAAATGACAGTGGACACTCACAGGCAAAGGAGAAGAAAGGAGGTAGGAAAAGCAGAGACCTGGGGCAGAGAGTCTGTGGTAAAATGTAAGAGCATATTATTGTGGGAGTGAATGTTTTAAAACACAAACAGAAAGAGAGGGGAGATTTTCATGTGGCTCTCAAGTCAGCCAGCTAATCTATGGGAATATGGGTCAGAAAGCTGAAGAGGGAAAAGAAATACACACTCCAGTCTGGACAAGCAAACGTTGGAAGACAAAAAAAGAGGGCCGGGGAAGTCCACACCACTTAAAAAGATTCGCCTCCCAGTACTTGCCAAATGTGGTATCTGGAGGGGAACTGTGGCATGTCCCGAGAATTCCAGACACTATTGTAAACAGGGACCTGGGGTGTGGAATGGAGGCTCCGTCTGGAATCTCATGGAGTAGGAACCCAGCCTGGGAAGACAAAAGTTATGCTAGATCCGTGTCACAAAGTCATGAGGAACGTATTTCAAAACTAGAAGTTCATCTCCAGGGTGTCTGGTCTCAGGACAGAGCCCCATGTGCACAAAGACTGAGTTCCAAGTCCACTCTGTGGCTCCCCCAACAAGGGGCTTTCTGCTGCCCAGAAATGCTGTGAGTGGCTGGAGTAAGGCGTCGCTGGAGTAGCAGAGTCAGGCAGTGACCAAGAACCTGTGACTCTTTGACACCCTGATGAACCACAGAGTGTCAGGCACTCGGTCATGTCTGACTCTTTGCGACCCCATGGACAGTAACCCTCCAGGCTCCTCTGTCCAGGGAATTATGCAGGCAGGAATACTGGAGGGGGGAGCCACGCCCTCCTCCAGGGAATCTTCACGACCCAGGGATCGAACCCCAGTCTCCTGCATTACAGGCAGACTCTAACACTGAACCACCAGGGAAGCCCTGATAAACCCAAAAAGGGAAATCTAAATTTTGATTCTGGGCCTTAAAATGTTTCTTACTGCAAAGATGATTTCACCTCTTATGCTTCAGGAAGACTCAAGTAGATTCTTTCAGTCACTGGGGAGCTCGTGGGCTCTTAGGAGACTGCCAAAGCTACTACTTTTTTTTTTTGCTTCATATCATATATGGTCAGTTAACCACTGGGAAAAGTGAGTCAGATAATGATATATTTGTGCTCAGTGTGCCAAAAACTCCAGTAGTACATGTCTTGGGAGCTAGGAAGCCCACATTTCTGAAGAAAATCCGAGTCTATACATATAGAGCAAAAGCATAAGTAGAGATGGTGAAGCTTAACTAGAGAAATGTTTCAGGAGAAAGGGACTCTTTGGACGCCTCTCCCCTCCTGTCCCCTTCCTCCCCCTCCTCCCCTTGTCTTTTCTGTGGGAGCTGAACGATGTGACCGTTTTATTTGTCATCCCCTTTTGAGGGTGAGAAGGGGGATTATGCCAGGGCATAGGCATAAATGGGATGAGGGTTCACTGTGTCTTAGCTTCCTAAGTTCCGTGAGGACTGCACTGATGCGCTCTCCCCCATCTGTGGCATGTACCACTCTCTATGTTCCTACTCCACCATGTCAGCATCTCTGCTAGAGTGGGTACCGGGCTGCATCATGTCAGCATCTCTGCTAGAGTGGGTACCGGGCTGCACCATGTCAGCATCTCTGCTAGAGTGGGTACCGGGCTGCATCATGTCAGCATCTCTGCTAGAGTGGGTACCGGGCTGCACCATGTCAGCATCTCTGCTAGAGTGGGTACCGGGCTGCACCATGTCAGTATCTCTGCTAGAGTGGGTACCAGGCTGCATTTCAGTTATTAACGCCAGGTTTCTGTCTCCCACTGAACTGTGAGCTTCTTGAGGCTTCCAGTCTTGTCTGGAGAATCCCATGGACAGAGGAGCCTGGTGGGCTGCAGTCCATGGGGTCACACAGAGTTGGACATGACTGAATGACTTAGCAGGTACACACGATTTATCTCTATTCCATAACCCAAGATCTGACACACATGTTTGACAAGGGAGGATATACTGACAACACGTTTGAAGGGAGACAAGTGACAGGATTGGTGGAAAAGTTATTCCCAGTGGAAAGAAAAGGCGTCACATATATCATAGCACAGGGTTGCTGACAGTGATTACGGGCAGTCCTGCAAATCAGTCAGCCTTCATGGAATGGAGGGATGACAAGAAGTAAGGAGGGACCAGCATTGGTGGAGTCTACAGATTGTCCAAGACTGTTGACTGATGGCTGCTCTAAAGAGGGGTGGTGCGTGAAGGAACAGTTGCTGTTTAGCTGTCCTCCTTAATGGGATAGACTGGATAATCCACCAGGTTTGCATATGAGCTTGGAGGAATGTGTTGGGTAAGCATGAAAACTTGAATGATAAAAAGAGAATAGCTTCTCAAAGAATCTTGATACTTCTGCTTCCAGCTGAAACCAGGAAATTCAGAGGCAGCAAAAATGAAATCAAGGAAAACGTTAATGGAAATTTTGAACCTAGAAAAGGTTTGGTTTGAGTTTTGAAGGACAGTCTGACCTGGTTAATAACTGCTCCCAAGTACTACTGTTACGATTTGCAGGCTTTTTATGTGTTTGTTATATATTTCATTTATATAATATTTAGCCTATTGTTTCCTAATTCTTAGGGGTGGGTCCCCAAATTCGGCAGTTTAACCAAGGCTTCTATATTTACTGCAACGCCGACGCAGCCCAGCTACCCAGAAGAGGCTTGTGCTGTAACAGTGTGGGCTGTTTTGCCTCAAATCAGCAGTTCTACTTGGGAGGGTCATGCAAAGTAATCTACAGAGTTTTCTCTGTTACTTGCGTAGAATGGTAATACTTTAATTAAAGCAACATGTATACATAATTTAATAAGTGGTTGCCAGAAATTATTTTCTCTAATAGAAATCATAGCAAATTTTTTTTTTTGGTCATCACTTAGGGAACTGTGAATTGCCGAAGCTTAGGTCGCTAACTATTTCGATCTGTAGGACCTCAATTTCTAAGAGTCCATGGCAGTTCTGACTTTGGCCTATCTAAAATGGGCAGATCAAGCTTGAGGCATTTATTGTGGGTGTGGAATGAAGGTTTGCCCACTCACGTCCCCTCTTTTCTTAGAAGATGAAGGTTTCAAACCTTTATTTCTTCCTAAGAGGAATCTACATTCTGGGTCTTAACTGAGTTCTTTGCTAACTGCCAACCTTCCTTTTGTATTCAAAGGACCCTCTTGAACGCCACTTATTTTATCTATACATGTTCCTTTAAGTTCTTACCTAAAGGGTTTTCCTATGTGTCACAAAGCTACTTACTTTAAACGCTCATTACTGCTCACTTTTTATGCTGAAATAATGCGTATTTGAGTTGCAGTTTACAAATAATGATCAAAGAGTGCCTTTCTCTTAATTAAATCGTTGGTTAATTTGATGAGCCTTTCAGGGTCAAAGGATTTAATTCTATAAAAATCCAACTGTCTTGACTTCCCATTCAGCTGAATCATTTCACAGTTTACTATGTTTCTTTCCCATGTGGATTAAAATTCTTTACAACTGGAAAATAATTATTAAAATAAATATGGCATTTGCATTACAGTTTTGATGACTGGAAGCCTTGACCCATGCCTAGGTGATCAAATAAACCACCAAAGTGTTAGGAACACTAACCTGATTAAATTAAGGAGAAGGAACTACATTATTAATAAGTAAGCAAGCAAATGTTGGACAACTTGACTCTCTTCCAAAGAGTCTTTAACATTTGATGTACATTTTAATCTGTATTTAAGACAGATTATTTTTTCTTTCCTAGAGAGACATCTCCTCTATGGACGGCCTGCTGTGCTCTATCGGACTAGATATGATATCTTATATCACACTGACTTTGAAAGCGGTTATAGTGAAATATTTCTAATGCCACTCTGGACATCATACACTGTTTCCAAACAGGTCATTGAGAAAATTGGGTTTCATGTTCTTCATGTCATTACGCTCCATGCCTTAATAGAATGATTGCTGGCGGAACAGAATTTTTTCTTAGAAAAGACTTAAATTTTTCCTGATGAAAGAAATCCTACATTGGATCTATTGTAAAATATTTTGAATTAGGCTTTCTGCCATGTTCTAATAACTTCACGGTAATATGTGAAATAGCATAGCATACTAATTCTGTTAGTTTCTTTTACTCTGCTTGTCATGGCCCAGTAGTTTCAGAAGCTATCAAGATTTGGCTGTGTGTTTTAATATACTTTATTATTTAGAGCAGTTTTAGGTTCACAGCAAAATTGAATGGAAAGGACAGAGATTTCCCATATATCCACGGCTCTATACATCACAGCCTGACCCCCACTAACATCTTGTTTTGTTTTGTTTTGTTTTGTTAATGAAGGTTTGTTTTATGTTGGGGTTTCAGTTTTGGTAAAGATGAGATAGTTCAGTTTATATCAGAAATTAGAAAAATTTATTAGGCAGTCGAAATATGTTTCTAATTTCTGAATACAAAAGACTTCTTGAATACAAAGGACTACTTCAACTGCCCCAAACACAGCTACTTGTTAATTTGTACTCGGGCACATATAATACATAAAGTTATTTTTTTTAAATAGGAGATATGTCTATATTATTTCTCAGAATATTATTTTTTAAGCTGTCTTCTGTGGAATCTCATTCATTATGTCAACAGTGAGATTTCTGCCTTCCGTATTATTGTTTTACCCAAGACTGATAAAGAGAGTTCTGCTAGTAGGAAAAAAGAGTTTGAAAATTACTAGCTTAGTGCATTTAAAAGTGAGGTTTTTTTTTTTTTTTTTTAAGAGTATATTTTTCTTTTTGGCCAAGTGGCACATGGGCTCTTAGTTCCCTGACCAGGTATTGAACCTCACCCCCTGAGTTAGAAGTATGGAGTCTTAGCCACTGGACTGCCAAGGAAGTCCTCTCTTGTTTGTTTATTTTAAAGAGAGACTATCAGAATATGAGCTATAGTAAAAGCTGATGGGGTTTTGATTTTGGCTGTTTGGAACCAAGCAGTCTGGCTTCAGTGTTTCCCCGTTGGTTTGGTACTGTCTCTACCACGGCTTTGCTGACGACTGTGACTCACCATTCAGGCTGAGGTCTCTGGCATCGCTGAACACCTGACCAACTGTGTCCGGCCTGATGTCCGTGTTTCTCCGAGTTTCAGTCAGAGCTGTTTGGCCTACAAAAATGATAAACAGATGTCCTATGGATTCCTCTTTCCTCCTTGTAAGTTACAGAAGACCAGATCTAACCATTCTAGAGGGGTGTTATTCTGCGGAGTCTGGCGTGTGCAACTTGGTATTTAGGATTTCAGTGGTTTTTAGAGGGGTGCTCAAGAGGTTGAGGAGATGAACTTCTCTGGGAGCCTTCCAAAAGCAGCCAGAAAGAGACCAGCTTTCACAAATCCTATTCCCAGGGAGTTCTGAAGTGCAAGGGAACATTCACTGTGTCTCCTGACATCCTTACATGAGAATCTAAAAGTGAAATGGGAAATTAATGAGACATTCATCTTTCAAAGAATACTATAGATGTGATCTCCTAAGAATACATGAAGCCCTTTAATTATCTCTCATTACCTTGATGACATTTTTTTAAAGTCCAAATTACACTGGTAAAGTCCAGGAACTCTTTTGCATAATACTTAGTAGACCCAAGATTAGGTTGGAAGCAAAAGAACATAAGAATTTCATTTAAGGAGAATGACTGAGTGAAGAAGAGAGGTGGAGTGGGAAGAGAAGCAGTCAATGGCAGATAGAGGGGATAAGTGGGGATGAAAGTCGGTCCAGTCACTGCATGCCGTTTGGGTCATTTTAAAGATCACTTTTTTTTATTGATGTCGATTTTAGTGTGTAATAGACACTATTTGTTTTCCTAATGTTTAGATCTGAGCTCGTCCCCAGAAGCTAAATATGATGCATTCCTTGTAACCAATATGGTTCCAATGTATCCTGCTTTTAAACGTAAGTCCAATATTTACCTAGTAGATTATTATTTGTGGAAAGAAATGTTTCTAAATTTATCACTTACCTTTGCTACCTCTAGATTCATTTTAATAATAATAATAATACTTTTCACGTATTTACCCTTTATAATTTTCAACAACCTTTAATGTAATGTAATTCTCTACTGCTAATCCAAATTATGAATCTGTGAGGGAGCTTGGTGATTTTTATTTATCCCTTGTTTATAATGAAGAAATTAAAGTTACAAGAAGTGACTCTGGTCATGAATGGTAGAAGCTCAGCTAAACCAAGTTTGTGCTTCTAATCTGTTGTTCTTCCTATTTCAGTGCTCACTCTATCAGTGGGTTAAAGAGTTTTTGTATTTTGGATGCTACCTAACATTTAACAGCATCTGTATTTATTTACTGAATGTTACAGTAAAAGCCACGAACAGTCCTTCCTTTAGGGGAATGATGATGATGTATTCTGAATATTGATCCTGAAACCTAGCAAGACCTTAATGAGTCTTCTGAATCATCAGAGTATAAATTCAGTTGGTTTTAGGGCTAAGTAAATTATATACACTCATAATCTCTTTCTATATGATATAAATATTTGTGGGTGATAGTGATGAAATGAATGGTATAATCATGGTGAGCTCTGGCTCCCAAAATGAGTTCTGGTCCCTGGAGTATGACCACTGCCTATGTGATCATAGAAATGCCATTTAGCCTCTCATTTGTAAAATTATAAGATTTGAATGCATGACTTCTGTGGCTTATATGGATTTGTAACTTAATTGTCCAGTGAACAAAATAATCCATTTTCTATTTCTGCTAACAAAGAATTTATTCATTTGCCCTTCCATCCATCCATCTATCCATTCATTTTCCTTCCACCCACCCATCCATCCATCCATCCATCACCCATCCATGTATTCAAAGATAGAGAAGGCATTATGGAGTAGACTTGACCTCCCTTTATTTCATTTATAGCAAGCAGACCTTGATGCTTCTAGGAAAGGTGGGAAAAGGAAACATTTCTACATAATTTCACTTAGTAAAAGAGCATTGGGCTGTGTTACATGACTCTCAGGACTAAAATAAAATGTCAAAACCGAAACATGAGATGGTGAAGTGTCATCTACAGGGCCATGCCTCCTCAACTTGAAATTGGTGAAATGGCCAACATGGTTTAGAGAAAAAAAAAATGTTTATTTGATGTCCTCAGTTAGTAAATAAGGGCTTATTCAAAGGTAGGCTCTGTTGCATATGAGTGAAAATTTAAAGTATGCTTTTAAGAGGAGGTTTCCTGGCTTGTTCTTGGGCCCAGTGGAGAAATGTTTCATAAACTCACGTAAATCCATTTGTCATAATATTACATGGAATGCAGCTTCATTGAGTTTCCACAAATCTGGGTTTCCTGGATTTCTTTATTCTTTGCTGATGCCTTTTTGACCAAGCAGCAATAAAGGAAACACACACACCGTCCCACCCTGAGGCTGGTGTGGCCAAAGGCCCTTCACAGAGGGCCCGCTGTTCTTCAGCGGGGAATGGTTTTTTCACAGGCCACATTTCTGCGGGTTTGGCCTTTTGACTGTTCCCATTGTTATTTCTTTCCTTCTGTGCCTCTCCAATTTTTATGCTTAAGTTAACATTTGGACTTCTCCCCCACTGTCCTCCCTCCTTTATTGCAAATAATTATCCGTGGTATTTTGGCTCTGGTGGCCTGCTCTGTCCTTCTCATTTAGAATAGAGGATCATCAGCAGTTGAAACCCCCTGGGAAAAATGCCCAAGTATTTTTTAATTAGAAGAGGTAAGAAATGATAACAGCCTGAACCTCATAACCCCCATGTATTGGGTTGGCCAAAAAATTCGTTTTAGTTTGTCAATCACATCGTACAGAAACACCTGAACGAGTTCTTTGACCAACCCAATAGCATCGAGCGCGGTAAGTCACATCTAACATTTTGGAGCCAGCTTCTCTGGTTTGCATTTCCCGTCTTCTCTTGCCTTTTCCCTTCCACCCCTGTCCTTCCCCCGTGATTGACTGTCATGGAACTGGAGCTAGCCTGGACAGGGAAGTCTTCTCTAGAGTGTGACCGTGAAACTGAGAAGTGAACCGTGGAGACACCCGGGAATCACAGATCAAGGGCGAGTTTTCCAGACAGAGGGAGGAGCATGTGCAGCACCTTACTCTGAAGCGCGTTCAGCAAGCAGAGGGGCAGAAGAAAGCCGGTAGCTGGGGGGAGGAATGGGAAGGAGAGTCACGGGGGGAGGCAGGGGCCACGGTGGACAGTTGGGGTTTTGTTCTAATTACGGGAGAAATCATCTGGAGTATGAGAAAAGGATGCTGGGGAGTGTGAGTCACTCTCTGATTCATGGTGTGAGAGGATCTGTCTGGCTGCTCCAGAGAGAACCGCCGCATACAGCCCGCGGTTCCCAGCTTTGTTGGCACCAGGGACCAGTTTCATGGAAGACAATTTTTCTGTGATGGGAAGGGGATGGTTTGGGGATGATTCAAGTGCATTACACGTATTGGGCACTTTATTTCTGGTATGACATCAGCTCCACATCAGATCATCGGGCATTAAATCTGGAGGTTGGGGACCCCTGAGCTACACGGAAGTAAGAGTTTCTCCCAGGGGGCCCAGAAGTAGTCTTTTGTGGCAGCTCATTGTAAGAGAAGATGGTGACTTAGATCAGCGTGGACGCAGTGAGAATGGTGAGGAGTGGTCAGCTTTAGAAGACTGGGCTGTGTTTTGGGGGTCTCACTGCCAGGACTTTGCCACATGTGCATGAGGAGAGCAGACAAGTCCAGGGTGAATCCTAGGATTTTGACCCAAACATCCGAGAGCGAATGCCACTGATGGTGATGGAGAAGCCAAGAGTTGGAACAGGAGTGAGAAGGAGAATTAAGAATTCTGTTTGAATAATTTTTTGTTAGATATGATTATGAGGTCTTCAAATGCACTGTGAGATGGGTGGTTGGATAGTATGTCTGGAGCCACATGGAAAGGTTAGGACTAGAGACATAAACTTGGGAATGAGTCTGTCTATGACATCATGAAAGGAAAAAAAGTAGATTAAGGCCTTTTTGCAGTTTTTCACAAACACTATACTTCCTCTGCTGCACAGCTATTCTGTCTTCCTTGAATGTTCTGTCTTCACCTCTTTGCTCAGAAAACCCCCCTTCAGATCTCAGCCTAATAACCACTTCATCTGCAAAGCCTTCCCGGACAGTTCACCTGGGTTAAACTCCTCTACCAATGAGTGTCTCCATGTCCTTGTCTTTTCTGGCGCATAAACGACGCACGCACAGCTAGTGCTTTGCGGTGGCTTCTTCTCGAGAATCACAACAGCTCTACTGTCTCTCAACTTGTGATATGTGTCCTGTTTAACACACCCTAGAGAGAATTCGGCCAGAGCAAGGAGTCTTGTTCACGAAGAACTGATTTTGTCTTTGCACAGGCATCTGGAGTTATTTCCAAAGGGTTCTGGTGAAGAAATATGCTTCAGAAAGAAATGGGGTTAATGTGATAAGTGGACCAATTTTTGACTATGACTACGATGGCCTACATGACACACAAGACAAAATCAAACAGTAAGCTTTTAAATTCCAAGGTCTCACTTAGGAGTATTTTTCAGATATTCATGTACTAGAGAAGAGCTGATACCTCTTAACCCTGTTCTTTGAATCTCTTGGTGAATTCTTCAGTTCTTTTGGACCTTTTATTAAACATGGCATTGGCAGTTGAAAGAAACAGGAATTTGTGGTAAATTAATGCACTTTCAGCTCCATAAAAGAATATGTATCAAAAGATTAAATCTTTTTCATTTATTCTTTAATAACTCTTCTGGGAATATGATAATTTTCCCTTGTTTCCCTTATTTTGGTGGGAGGGGGACTTTTAAAATTCCTTAGGTTTTCTGAGTCAGCTCATCTCAATAGGAAATTGCACATAAACTTTGATCAAACCTTGTTTCTGTCCCTCTCTCTGGTGCTATTAGGGTTATAAAAAAATTAGGCATACTCTATTCATGAGGAACTTAGAGTCTGATGGAGAAGGCAATAAGAGATAAATACAACAAATTCGTAATCATCATTTAATTTTATACATGTATGAAACAGCATAACACAAAATATGAGAGGGTTTAATTGTGACTTATAGTTAGACAAAAATGTTAATTTTTTCATATAGATAAGTAATAAAATAGATCTTACTGCCTTTCCAGTCATCCATAAGTGAAATTTTATCTTACTCATTTAATAATGGTTATTGTTATAGTTTTAAGCTCAAATTATATTATCAGCTTAATCATAATTTCAGTATTTTGAAAATGATTAAAATGAAGACAAGAGAAAACTAAGTAAGGAATTATCACTTCCTATGCTATGCTCTACTGGAAAAGATTATTTACACTTAGCACTCAGTCCTTAGAATTTTCCTCAGTAAATGAGTTCTCTGTACCAAGTTCAGGACCTCACGGTGGCTTGAAAGGGCTATTCTTTTCCTAGCTCCTGTGTTTTCTGCTTCTGGCCCATTCGATACAAATCTGTGAGAGTTATTCTCCTGAAATGTGGCTCTCACAGTGGTGCTCCCAAGCACGGAGGCTTTCAGTGGAGCCTCGTTGTCCAGACTCCACAACTCTGGCGCCCAGAGCCACCGGCCCTCCTACCGCGGCGCTGACTGGCTCTTCCCGACCGCCATTTCTGCTCCGCTGACCTGCCCTTCTGTCCAGCCTCTGAGTCTGGGCTCAGGCGGTTTTTCTTTGTCTCGAGTATCTTTTCTGCTCTACCAGGTTGAGAGAAAGATTTCGGGCACTGAAAACTTTATATTCAAAGACAGAGAAGTGGGCGAACGCTTGTAAGTGAGAAAGAGACTCCCCTGAGAGGACTCTCCTTGCAGTCGCTGGGGCAGCGTTCAGGGACCACACTTAACAAAGCGCTGTCCGTCAGCCCTAACTCGTCTTGCCTCCCCGTGCCAGGTACGTGGAGGGCAGCTCCGTCCCCGTGCCCACCCACTACTACAGCATCCTCACCAGCTGCCTGGACTTCACGCAGCCCGCCGACCGCTGCGACGGGCCGCTCTCCGTGTCCGCCTTCGTGCTGCCCCACAGGCCCGACAACGACGAGAGCTGCAACGTGAGTGCAGGCATGGCGGCGCCCGAGGCTTCCGCTTCCGCTTCCGCTTCCGCTTCCGCTTCCGCCCCGCGCTCCTTTAGCTCACCCGTATACCGTGCTCCATTTTCATTGCTTTAAAAGCCTTTCTATTTTGTCGTATTATTTCTTTTTAAAATTTACTTGTTTATTTTTTTAGGTTCTGTTCAGGAAGTACATAGGTATTTATTATTATCAATATTATTATTATCCAAACCAGAACATTTCTGGAAGTGAAGGGAGGATACTATGAAATAGCAACTACAGACAGCAGGGATGAGCCATGCTTAAATGAGGGGCATATTTTCACCCTATTTGTAAGGCATAAGGGGAACTTGTTTAGTTTTAGTTGGAGGATCATTGCTTTACAACGTTGTGGTGTTTCTTCCGTGCGTCAGTGTGAGCCGGCCCTAAGCACACAGGTGTCCCCTCCCACCCCACCCCTCCAGGCGGTCACAGAGCCCCGGCTCGGGTGCCCCGCATCACACGTCACACTCCCTCTGGCGATCTGCTCTGCGTTTGGTGATGTGTATGTTTCAGTGCTGTTCTCTCAGATCATCCCACCTTCTCCTTCTGTTATCATTTTGTAATTGGAATATAGTTGCTTTACACTGTTGTGTTGGTCTCCACTACACAATGAAGTGAATCAGCTATATGTATACCTGTTAAATAAAACAAGATAAATGACTGTGCATCAAGTGGATAACATAACTGCACAGAGAAAAGAATTCAAATAAATTATGTATATGCACTCTGACCATAGGGCTTCCCACATGGTGCTCGTGGTAAAGAACCTGCCTGCCAATGCAGGAGACATAAGAGATGCAGAGTTGATCCCTGGGTTGGGAAGATCCCCTGGAGGAGGGTGTGGCAACCCACTCCAGTGTTCCTGCCTGGAGAATCCCATGGACGACAGAGCCTGGAGGGCTACAGTCCGTAGGGTTGCAAAGAGTCAAATACAACCGAAGCACCTTAGCACACAAGCACTCTGACCATACTCCCTTAATGGGATACAGTTCAAGAACAAACAAAGCAAGCAAAGAAAATTTGAACTTTACACAGTAGATGTGGTGTTGCTAGTGATGTTGATATTTTAATTTTGAAAATTAAAAAAATGTACTGTTATAAAAGCAGTGTCCTTTGGGATTTGCTGACAGAATTCATCTTTGTGTCTTAAATTATATCCCCACCCTTGAACTAGAACACACTTATAAAACATTTGGACTATACAAATGGGTATACACAAGTTGAGTCTTTGGAAAGGACCCAACAAAACTGCCTAACACTTGGGAACTCTGTGTCCTAATGGCTTTTTATTTTTCAATGTAAGGGTATTGTGCGTTTAATATAGTTCCGTTTCAGTGTTCGCTCTTGACAAATGATAAAAGTGCTCAAATGTCTTCAGTTTTGCACAACACAAATATATTTTATAACAGTGAAAAGTAGCACAATGTTGGTAGTTACTGAAATGAGGGAAGAGCTCCCAGGAGCTCATTTTATCATTTGCTCTACTTTTGTGGATGTTTGAAAATTTCATTAATAAAAACTTTTTAAACTTTTTTTTTATATTGGAGTATAGCCAGTCACTCTGGAGAAGGAAATGGCAGCCCACTCCAGTATTCTTGCCTGGAGAATCCCATGGACAGGGCATCCTGGTGGGTTACAGTGCATGGGGTCGCAGAGAGACACAACTTAGTGACTAAAACGACAACAACAATAGCTAATTAAGAAATGTGAAAGTTTCAGGTGACGGGCAAAGGGATTCATTTGGGGATATATATATTTCCCTATTTTCCCCCAAATTTCCCTACCATCTAGGCTGCCACGTAACACTGAGCAGAGTTCCCTGCGCTACACAGTAGGAATTTGTTGGTTATCCATTCTAAATATAGACACAAACACACAGGAATATATGCTCTACACATCAGACTTTGATTCACTACTAGCTGTAAGGGCAGGTGTAACAGGTCACCCCATTCTTAAGGAGCACAGATGGCCCGATTCGCTTGTTCCAACATGAAAGCAGGGTGGCCGGATGCAGAAGGCCCAGGAAGGCAGACAGGAGCCCTGCTGTGTGCTCCCGGCCCTGGTCCAATGCTGCGCTTGGGGGCAAATCACGGGACCACGTCAGGTCTCTTTAATGTGATGGAAACCTCGTGCTTCAGGGTTGATTTTAGAATAGTCTCTATGCTTCTGTTTATAGAATAGAAGGATCAGAGAGAAAATCTCCGGGAGAAAATTTTTAGTCAACAAGCAGTGCTTAAATTCCTTAATTATTTATGTAAGGTACCCTGGGAGAAACGATGCTGTGTTTAACATAGTCACTCCTCCAGGCAGCCTTCCAGGTGAGAGCGAATGAAACAAGCACAGAAATTGCTTTTCACTAAAAGGCAAAGAGCCTTAAGAATAGCTTCAAGACAGATTTTCAGCTTCATGGACAAGGCAGTTTTGAGGCTAGGTCTTCAATTACAGGTGAAGATTGAGGCTATGACCATCTGAAACAAAAAACAATGGATGCCGGAAAAAATAGAAATTTTAAATATGGCTAAAAAGAAGTTATAAGTTTGCTCAGAATATTGGAAATGAAGATCATTGTGGGAGATAAGGTTTTAAAGGTTGCATAGAATCAAATTTGAAATAAAAGTCATCAGGCCTTCCCTGGTGGTCTAATGGTTAAAACTCTGTGTTTCCAAAGCAGGTGGCCTGGTTTTCATCCCTGGTTGGGGAACTAAGATCCCACATTTCATGAGGCCAAAAATAATAATAATTAAAATAAAAATAGCCATAGCAGCCAATAGTAGTAGTTGTTACCATTGATTGAGTCCATGTTAACCATCCAGTATTGTGCAGTCTTGTCTCTTATATTATTTCTCATCATCTTATTACCCTATTAGGCAGGTACGTATGACCCCCCTCCCCCTCCCCTTTTATTAACTTTTGAGGAACTATAGCTCATAAAGGAAAAGTATGTAGCAAGTTATCTGGTTACCTTCTACCTAATCGGTAGAAGAACAGAACTTTAGATTCAAGACTTCTGTTTTCAAAAGCCCATCCTCTTTTGAATCTACCAGATTTATATAGTGGAAGCTTGCATCCTTAGCACTTCTTTGCATTGACATTAGTGAAGTGAAAGTCACTCAATCATGTCCGACTCTTTGCGACCCATGGACTGTATAGTCCATGGGATTCTCCAGGCCAGAATACTGGAGTGGGTAGCCTTTCCCTTCTCCAGGGGATCTTCCCAACCCAGGTCTCCTGCACTGCAGACTGATTCTTTACCAGCTGAGCCACAAAGATGACCACAAAAAATGCTTAGACATAAGAGCAATATTTTAGCCTCTGTTTTGGGAGATAAATTAGAATTGGAGAAGATTAAGCATGGTCCTTAAAGGGCTTTGGTGGGATTCCCAGGATTGAGGTAACAGAACTTGAACTGGGGTGTGGTCTTGGAAATTTCTAAAGGAAGGTGGAAGGCAGCAATATTGTATTGCAGGGATCAATAAGATCTTAGAAATAACTGGATGGGAGGTGGAGAAGCAAGGGTGCGTCAAGTGAGAGAGGAGCTATCCTCAACTGATTGGCTTGACCTTCTCAATTCTGATCGTCTACACCCACAGGAGTAGCTAATGGTGTACCAGGGTAGGGTGGCGGTGTAATACCTCTGGATCTGAACTTCAGTTTTACTGAAATTTTGTTGTGGGGAGGTAACATTTTTGCAAAAAAGTAAACACATATTTTATGGGGTGAAATTCAAAATTGCCATACGCGTTTAAGACAAGGCAGAGATTACAAAGATATTTCGGACTTAAGCCATGTAAGAGACACCTAAGTTCTTGGGGGAAAGGTGTTCACATTTTCTTGTCATTTGGGGAATCTGGTGATGGGGGGGAGCTTGAAAACATTGTTCTGAACTCAGCTCAAAGGCAGTTTTTATTCATCCCAGTGTTCTGTCTGACGATGTCCACTGATGTCCTCACGTCTTCCTCTCTGCCCAGAGCTTAGCAGTATTTCTTGTAGTGCTCATGGTCAGCATGCTTCTTCCTGAAGAACCCCCTGCCACATAGACGCTGTCTGTGCTTTATTTTTTAAATTGGAGTATAATTGCTTTACAATGCTGTTAGTTTCTGTTGTACAGTGAAATTAACCAACTGTACATATTATATACTCTCCCTCTTGGACCATACCCCCTGTCCATCCAACCCTTTCAGGTCATCCCAGAGCACCGAGCTGTGCTCCCTGGGCTTTGTAGCAGGTCCCCATTAGCTACCTACTTTACACATGGGAGTGTATATATGTCAACCCCAACCTGCCAGTTCGTCCCACCCTCCCGTGTGCCCCCAGCCGGGTTCACATATCCCTTCTCTACATCTGCATCTCTATTCTTGCCCTGGAAATAGGTTCATCTGTACCATTTTTCTAGATCCCACATATATGAATTAATAGACAGTATTTGTTTTTCTCTTTCTGACTTCACTCTGTATGACAGATTCTAGGTCCATCCACATCTCTACAAATAACCCAATGTCATTCTTTTTTATGACTGAGTTATATCCCATTGTATATACATACCACATCTTTTTTTTTTTCCATTCCTCTGTTAATGGACACTTAGGTTGTTCCCATGAGCTGGGTTTGGTAAATAGTGCTGCAATGAGCATTGGGTACACGTGTCATTTTGAATTACATCCTTACTTTAAGATCCACCTTAAAACTGCTGGGACTTGAATTCACAAGCTCGTTTGGGAGGCAGGCAGGTGAAGGATAAATGTCCATAGCAAAAACAAAAAACAAAACATCACTAAGCCAGTCCCTGGACTGTGCTTTCATTTGCATTAATGTGTAAAGTTATTTATTTTTAAAGTTTCTCTTTTTCTCTCTTGGGTCACTTGAACTTTTATTTGACTTTTATTAGTTTTGCGTTTCATACTAGAGTCTCCTGCAGCAAATACTTCAGTGGGTTGCCAGCTAGCAAGAGGCAGAAGTCATTTTCTTCCTTGTAGCGTAGCCCAGTATTTTGACTAATTGGAGGCTGGATTTTAGCCTGTGAGAACCAGAGGAGAATGCCTCTCAGATGAAATTGGCAAATCACTTCCCTAGGAAAGAAATAGCAAAAGACAGATTTTTTTCCCCAAATTCTTATAATCCCAGCTGGCCATTATTTAAATTAGGAAAAACCTTTTCACCCCTTGTCCACACATTCAAAAGACTGCATTTACAAAGGAAACATTACACTTACTGACCATTGAAAAATCAAATGAATGAGTCGAATATGAAAATTCTCCCAAAATATCTCTTCGTGCTTACTCTGCTTACTCTGAGGGGGTCCCGACCCATTTGGAGACCTCCTACTTCGTTAATTATATATGGTCACACTGAGGACTGGTCAGTACCGTTGTGGGCAGAGTTATATTTAGGCCTGTCCTTTCCTATGAATCGCAAAGATCTTGGTCAGCCTGGGTGAGGAGGGTGGGGCGTGGAGGGTTAAAATCCTTATTTCCCCCAGCCTCCAAAGCAATTTCTTCCTGTTTCTTCCTTCTGCCGGTGATGGCCAGGCATCGTTTCCTGAACCAACACCCTTCTGGACGTATTTAGCACCGGCGCGAGCTGCCAGAGCTCCCCGTCCAGGCCCGTGTGGGTTGGAGCTTTCCGAGACAGCTCAGTGCAGGTTCTTGGGCTTCGGTGTAGCTCACAGAGGCCGCTTGCGGTGGAAGGCTCCGGCGAAGGCATGCCTGAGCTGTCTCAGTCCTGGGACATGCAGCTGCCCTTCAACTTGTAGAAAGACTCTTGGCAGCCGTGGCAATTTGGGAATGAGATTATTTGCAAAGACCCTCTTGCCCCGTCTCTTCTCTAAAGGTAGACATTTCCCCACATTTTCAAGGTTCTCAGATCTCATTCTTCCTCTCAACTTCCCTCAAAAGTAAAAAATATTTTTTAAAGGATTTTTAAAATAATGCTTTGTTGGCATTATTTTTCTTTCTTCTTTTTTTGCTAATTAATTATTGGTTAATTTGGCTGCGCCGGGTTTCAGTTGTGGCATGTGGGATCCGGTTCCCTGACCAGGGATCGAACCTGAGCCCCCTGCTCTGGGAGCACAGAGTCTTAGCCACAGGACCACCAGGGACGTCCTGGCACTACTTTTTTTCATTTCTCCTTAGATGTGAAATAAGTCAGTGTGAGACATTGAAATGTCTTTCACCTCGAGTTTGGGCCAATGAGGCGACTCTTGGGAAGCAGTGAAGACAGAGAGATTTCCTTTCTTCCCATCCTGGGAACCCCCGTCATGGCTTTTCCACTCCCGCCTCCTTCCTCCTCCCTGCCCTTCCGCCGGCCCCGGAGCTGCAGGAAGCGCTCTTCTCTGTGTACCAGCGAAGGGTCAGAGCGCTTGAGCGAGGTCTCCCAGGCAGGAAGCGGAAGAGCTGCATTTCCAACCCTGGCCTCTTGGGCCCCAAAGTGCCGGGTGTATCCACTGGGCGGCTCAGTTGACGTAAGTTGAGTCAAACTCATTCCAGTGTCAGTCCGTCGCAGTCTAATAGGTGACGTCATCGATCTAGCGTGTTCTTCAGAAGCTCCAGGGGCGCACACATGCCGTGTGCGCTCAAGCTCTGCACCCCCCGGGGGAGGCCAGGCGCTGCCGTCCTCCTGCGCTCTGCCCCTCGCTGCAGTTCAACCTCGGGGCAGAGAGACAAATGACTGATTGCTCCGGGGCCTTGCGCTCTCCCGATCTTGACTTCTGTTCTGAGGACCCACTGAGTCAAATGCCCTCTTGCACCACACCTCGCTTTTATTCGGCCCAGCTAATCGCCGCTGAAAATGTTTCCAGCCGGGACTTCCCTGATGGTCCAGTGGTTAAGACTCTGCTTCCAGTGCAGGGAGCAAGGGTTCAATCCCTGGTCAGGGAACTAAGATCCCATATGCTGTGTAGATAGCCAGATGATAAAAATAAATCAAAGAATAATAAAGTAATTTAAAAAAGAAAATGTTTCCAGCCGAGGGCCGGTATTTGCGGTGCGTTGTGGGCGGGGATGTGGGAGCCGTGGGGAACCCAAGGGGGAAGAAAACACCTTGGCTTTGGGTGCAGGAGTTCAGAGGTCGTGTGTGGACTGGGACCAAACGGAGTGTTTGGAGAAACGCCTTTGGAAAATTCTGACTCTGTCTTTCCTTTCCGTGGCAGAGCTCAGAGGATGAGTCGAAATGGGTGGAAGAGCTTCTCAAGATGCACACAGCGCGGGTGCGAGACATCGAGCATCTCACCAGCCTGGACTTCTTCCGCAAGACCAGCCGCAGCTACCCGGAAATTCTGACCCTAAAGACGTACCTGCAGACGTATGAGAGCGAGATCTAGCCTTCCAGCCCTCTGCGCCGCAGGCTTATCAACTGGTGTATATTTTTATATTGTTTTTGTATTTATTAATTTGAAACCAGGACATTAAAAAAAAATGCTAGTATTTTAATCCTGTACCAAATCTGACATCTTACGCCTGACTGACTCCACTGTTTTCCTCTAATGCTTGATTTAGGTAGTCCTGTGTTTTGAGTAGAGCTTGTAATAATTACTGCAGCTTGCATTTTTAGTGGAAGCTTCTAAATGGTGCTGCATATTCCATATTTGCATTGAGGAAATCTCAGTCTTCCAATGCACAGTTGCCACATTTAGTCCCGTACTGTGTTAAAATACTGATTTTGTAAAGTTGCATTCATTTATTATTGTTAATTATGACAGACATTTAAACCTTATAGACCAATCGTAAATATAATAAATCACACATTCAGTTTTTTTTTTCTGGTTTTATTTGGTCTTTGTTTCATATAAATTAGAGGGTTTGCTTCTAGTGTATTTCATGCATGAAAAGGATACATATCTTGTATTGGGCCCTCTTCCCAGTTGGTATAGTTTACATAGACAAAGGGGCGTCCTTAACGGTCCACCATGGTGGCTTGAATGAGGTTGAGGATGTATTGATAACATATCTGTGGGAGATCAGAAGGACAGAGGGGGAAGGGAACCAGAACCCCTGAATATCCTGTCTCACCTATCTATTTTTAAAAATATTTTGAACGTTGGAGGAACAGGTTCTTTTGATCAAGTTGTTTCAAAGCTTTTATTGGACTTAGCTGAGAGTGTACTAAGCATATATTCTGTGTAAGTATCAACCTAAGAACCAGGAACGATATAAAGAGAAATAAGACACTGAGATGATATATAGGCATGAAAGTGTATTTAACTAATCAAGGTAGAGAATAATGAATGCTAGAATAACGCAGTATGACGGAAGGGTTTGAATGATGGGGTGATTTTTGATGGACCCAACTGTGGCCATAAATAATAATGAAGCACAAAGTGAGGAAGTCATTCAGAGATTTTCTGTCCTTCTGATTGTGTTATGGATAACGGGCCATCTCAGTACTGCCATATTTCTAACAGTTAATAATCTTCTCTAAAAAAGAAAACAAAGAATAGCATGTTAAATTCTCCTTTAAAAATAAATTTGCTTAAGGGAACTTCCCTCGTGGCTAAGATTCTGTGCTCCCAATGCAGAGGGCCTGCATTCAATCCTGGTCGGGGCACTAGATCCTACATGCCCAAACTAAAAGATTAGATACCACACGCCCCAGTGAAGGTCACAGATCGTGCATGCCAGCTAAGACCTGGGGCAGCCAAAGAAATAAATATTAAAAACATTTTTTTTCTTAAGACATTGTGTTAAAAAGTACATAACAAAAGCAGGACAGATGGTATATGGACAGTGGGGATATGGGAAAAATCATGAAAGTGGTATGAGAAAAACTGATGTTTGGGAAACACAGCTACAGGAATACACTGGAAGAAGTGCTGTGGTAATACTGATGACAGCTGTATTTATCCAGCAACTGCTATGTTCCATGCACATCTCTGGCCCTTCATACGCTCAGGGAAAATTTTATGGAAAAGGGAAGAGGTGAAGGTGGGGATGGGCAAGGCTGGAATTGGGCTTTGGAGTTTGGGGTAAATAGGGTGGGAGCGAAGCCGTAGGTAACCATTAGTCAAATCCATTTCACCTGCCTTGACAAATCAAGGTCATCTACCAAAACACTTGCATGTCCTCCAAGTGGCATGTAGCCTAAACAATAAGATGTTTGCCCAGACTGTTTCCCAGGAACTTGGAGTCAGCTGTGTCCAATTTGAGCTGAGCTGGTTGAGACTGGATAGGACTCCCAACCCTCCAAAGGGGCATGCATGCGCGAACACCCACTCTCAGCGACCTTCTGACCTCACAGCCGGAACTTCCGCCTGCAGGTCGTGCTGTGTGCCTCCGGGCTTTGAATGTGCAGAGGCCTGTCGCGTAGTCACACCTGCACAGAGGACGATGACTGCTGTGCCTCCTCCCATCACCTCTCCCGTGATCTTCCCGCTCCCCAAGCCCCAGACCAGCCTGCCTCTTCAGTTTTTTATCCCATAAACACCCCAAGCTCCTTGTCTTCTGGGAGATGGATCTGACCTGACGTGTCTCTTCACTTGGTTGCCTTTCAAATAAATAATCTCTCTGCTGTAAAAGTCGGTGCCTCAGCGTTCTAACCTGCCGCCCATCAGGCAAAACAAATCTGGTTTTGATAACAGAAGTGTGGTAGAAATGAATTGGGATATCACTCACTATTTAGTATCATGTCTTGATTAACTCATCATCTACTACATGCCAGTACCTATACTTGCTGTTGAGGATGAAACTAAATAAGATAAACATGGTTCCTTCACAGAATTTATACTTTAGTGGAAAACAAGAGCCATTCAAAAACCGCAGGGCTTCGTTGTGATAGGCCCAGTGAGAGAATTAAACAGGTGCTGAGGGGCAAGGGAGTGGAAAGAGAGGCGGCTTTGATGACAACACAGCCAACATGTGAGGATGAGAAAAGCTGCCTCAAGAACAGAAATAAGGAAGAGCCTGCCCAGGGACTGGGGAATTCGCGACCCGGAAGTACACAGCTCGGCACAGTGCTCTTGCTTGAGAGGTCTCGCAACAGGAAAGGCTGATAAGGGATACGGTCCTGCCCCGAGAAGTCAGCCTACAGACTTTGGGAGAGGCCCAAACAGGAAGAAGTCGATCAGCCTTCCGAGTCCTTCTCCCTGGAACCCATGAGAAGGATGAACAATGTGCCTGCCACCAGGAAGGATGCTGAGTCAGAATGACTGGCCAAAGACAACCAGAAACTACCCCCAGTCCCGTAAAACCCTTGCCTACAAGACAGAGGGCAGAGCAGTTCTCCTGGTCCTATTACCCTGCTGTTGTCCACCCGGGTGCCCCTTCCCAATAAATCTTTTGCTTGGTCAGCACGTGTGTCTCCTTGGAAAATTCACTTCTGAGTGTTAGACAGGAGTCCAGTGTCAGGCCCGGGAGTGGGGGAGGGGCCCCCTTCCTGCAACACGAAGACTAGGGGTGAGAAAGACTTTGGCATGTGTGAGGGTCTGAAAGAAAATAGGTGTGCCCAGACACAGAGGCAGGGCTGTTAGGGAACAGGTCAGCAGATCCTTGTGGGCACCACTGAGGCATCTAAGTGCAATGGAAAATAATTGAGAAGTCACTGGCCGACGTATGACAGGGTTCCATTTAAGATTTCAGTGTATTGGCCTGGATATGCCCTAATTATATAGCCTCCTCTCAATCTCATTCCGCAACTAGAGAGTCCACCCAGTTAGGTGCAATCCATCAGTCAGTTCAATTGCTCAGTTGTGTCCGACTCTTTGCAACCCCATGAACCGCAGCACACCAGGCCTCCCTGTCCATCACCAACTCCCAGAGTCCACCCAAACCTATGNATTGAACTCTTCTCAAAATAGACTATACCTGAGGCTTTGGGGGTGAGCAGTTAGCAAATTTAGTTGAGTACTGCTCCTCTATTTTTAATCCTTAGGTCAAATCTTTCTTTCTCATAAATAAACTGCGTACCAACCACTGTGTATTTCAGGTGAGCGGTTTTGCCGATAAACACATGTCATTAATTGGGGGGTTATTTATGAAAGTATCTGAATGGACAGGGACTCTATTAAAATGAGGTCTGGAAGATTATTTTAAGTTGGGGGTATTTTTTAAATTTTTTTATTTTGAGACCTTGGTCCATTCATGCTTTCATTGAGCTAGTTGCCAACTGCTTGCTAGCATGGTGGTCTTGTTTTAGCAGATAGGTTCAGAAACTGCCTCTCTAAAAGGAGCTCACTGTAAACAGAGTAAACCAGGAAAGCGGCCACATAGTTTCTCAAGGGTAAAAACATTCTGAATTGTTTTGAAGAGAGCTGACTTTAAAAAAAAAAAATCTCTGCAGAAAAGCAGGTTTTGGTGTCCACTGGGCTTGCCCAGATTCAGGGCCGTCCCGTCTCGTTTTGGGAAGGGCTGCTGCAGACTGAGGACGTTCCTCCCTCCAGCTGTGTCTCTCTAGCTCTTTGCTGAGTCAGGCCGGGCTGCCTTGTGGGTGGGAAGTGGTGAAGGCGACAGGAATTCTCCCATGAGGGGAGGGATTGTCCCGGGCCTTGAGGAACAAGATTGAGCTGTTTGAGTTTGGAGGCTGGGGTGAGCAGGGCGCTGCGAGAGGCTCACCGGGAGCGGCAAGAGCTCCTTCCTGGGCTGCACTTCTAGGAAGCGCCCGTCCTTGCCCCCTCCTGTCCCCTGCATGTCCCCACCCCGGCAGGGCATCTGGTTTCAGATGGAATGTCAAGGTGGGCCTGCTGCCCCGGCCCTGTGAAGTTTTGCCATCCGGCTCTTGGGAGCAGGCCAAGCTCCAACCCCTCTGTGAGCTCTGGGCTCTGCTCCCTCTAATTCCTTCACAAGGTTCTTTTCCTGCCTTTAGGTGGAAACTCAGGTGCTATTAATGTTCAAGTGAATACTTGAGACACTTGGCAGTGTTCTTATTCAAAAACGCCTAAGAAGGATTTTAACTTTAAAAGTCGTTTGGTATATTGGGTCATGCTCATGCACGTAAGTGACCTCAGTGCTGTCTGACTCTCTGTGACCCCGTGGACTGTAGCTCCCCAGGCTCCTCTGATCATGGGGTTCTCCAGGCAAGAACACTGGAGGGGGATGCCGTGCCCTCCTGCGGGGGCTCTTCCCGACCCGGGGCCAAACCCAGGTCTCTTATGTCTCCTGTATTGGCAAGCATGTTCTTTACCACCAGCACCCCCTGGGAAGCCCATGTTGGATCATACATATGTGTTAAAATAGAGTCACAATGTAAAATTACCTCAGTGAGGACAATAATGAAGACCAATTCTACCTTAATATGGAAATCAGCATTTATAGCCTGGTAGGCTACAGTCCATGGGGTCTCGAAGAGTCGGACACAGCTGAGTGACTTAACTTTCACTTCACTTTCCTGCATTGGAGAAGGAAACGGCAACCCACTCCAGTGTTCTTGCCTGGAGAATCCCAGGGACGGGGAGCCTGGTGGGCTGCCGTCTGTGGGGTCTCACAGAGTCGGACACGACTGAAGAGACTCAGCAGCAGCTACTATGTGCCAGACTATGAGCTAGTGATCTTACCTGTGTGATGTTTTTCACTATCGTAACAGCTCTGACACACTTTCTAAACCCACATTTTATAGCTGAGAAAAATTAGACTAAGTTGGTCAATGTCATATAGATGAAGAGAGGAAAGGCGAGATTTGAGCCCCTCTCTGGTTCCAAGAGCCATGCTGGTCTCCATACCACAGTGTCTTTCGGGCAGGAAGAGGAGAGGAACAAATGGGAAAGGACGCTGAGAAGCGGCGATATGCAAAGCAGTAAGACTCCCGAAGAACTGGGCAAATGTCTTTCA